GGAAAATAAGCACAGCACCCTCTACCCTACTTTTTTCAATTTCAGATTAGCGGAAATAGCAATAAAACCTTTAATCAGTTATTCCCGTTAATCTGAAATTGAAAAAGCAGGGTAGCGGGTGCTGTGCTTATTTTCCATACTTTACGGTATATAGTAATATACAATGAAACAAATTGGTTGGAGAAAATTTACGCTCAGTTACGTAACTTTTTTTTGGGGCTAGGATGGTTTGCATTTACTGCGATCTTTGATTATTTTTATCGGTGTTGCTTTACATGCAAACTCAGAATGTGACAAATCTACATTATTGCCAATAGACAATACCCTTAAATCTATTTTTCGGTTCACAGTAGGCCTAGGAATTGTCTCACCCCTATAATATCCAAAAATAAATTAGACACAATCAAAAACTATAATATCGCCTAGTGAATATTATTTACTATTTAAGATAGAGTATGTCATAATTATTTGAAAAAATTATATCCAATATAGGACCCGATATTTTCATAATATATTCAATTTCCGTCAAATTCTTTTTTTCACCTTCCTTATTAATAAAAGAATAAGGATTTTCTAATAGCATATCGATTCTAACAATAAAATGTTCTGATTAATTTTATATATATATGAAAAGGGGTATAATAACGTACAAATAAAAATATATTTTTAAAACTTGACGGTGTTTATCATCATCAGGCCTTTCCTTTAATTTATCCAATAGATAGGAACGTGCATCCCAATAGCGATACGAAGCACATATCTAATATTAGAAGTAAATGTAATTAAGTATACTGTGATATAAACCATATAAATAAGAATCTATGTCAAAATCCTGAAATTTAATTGTCGCGTCGTATGATGTCGGGCTCCAGTATTCAAAACCCGCTTATGATTAGTAATAGTGATTACTAATCATAAACGGGTTTGAATACCGGAACCCGACATCATACGACGCGACAATTAAATTTCAGGATTTTGACTTTCGGGATTTTGACATGGAACCGTGGTGTAATAACAATAATACACGAACCTCTTCTATCCTAATAATATCAGATAGAATGTTTCCTTCGATTTTTTTACTTCGAAGCTTATTTTCTCTGAAGCCTTCGCTTTCAAACCTTCCCACTCATCTCCAAACCATGTGTGCATTCCTCCGTCAAACTCCGATGACAAATCAATAATAGATGAAAGCCCAAGCCTAGTTATGTATATAGATACAGTTAATGTATAATGTCAAAATGATCTTACTAATCATAATATACCTTATAACGCTCATAATTTTTCCATCTACTTTAGTTAATTGATTTGCCTCTTCAATTTTCTGACGTGTAATTTTTATTAGAGTATCTCTGATTCTTTCACCGTTATTCAAGCACCATCTCTTCCCACTACATGTACCAATCCACTCATCAAAAGAAAAATCTTTAAAATTAATAATTTCTCCCCAGTCATCCGAATCATCGTCAACTTTTTCAGTTTCGACGAAAATTCGATTTCTATAAAATCTTCGTTTATGGATTTAGAAACAACGATTCCTTCAGCAAGAAGTCGTCTTTTTCTCACTTTCACTTCCAGAGCCATAACCGCATGCACGTCTCTTAAAGTTCTTTATAAAAAAGTATATGTGAATTTTAGTAGGTATTATAGATTTAAATTGGGACC